TATCTCCATGTTGCTGAATGCATCATCAGGGCTGGTCTGGATGAACAGATCCAAAGATGACACTGGGCAGATTTGTAATTTAGCTTGTTTGTACATTTGACCTCATCTAATTTCCAAATGCATCATATTGTGTTTAATATTTAAATATGATGGAGGGATGGATTGCCACATAGTAACAGAGTCTTTAAAGTAACTAAACCTTTCTCTGTCAAATAATATTGACCACCACTGTAATAAATGGTCCTGTGGTCTTGTGGATCTTAAATAATGCATTAGGTCAAATCTATTCAATATAATAGTGAATCATTTATTTTTGTGGCAATTATTTAAGTACATATCAATAAAAATATTTGGTTCAATGTAAAGATGTGGTTTAGCTGTACATGAATTTTAAGATGGTGTTGTTTGTTTAAAATGCTTAAAATACAGTGAGGAGCATTGCATTCACACTTAAGACATTTAGATTTAATTTGCTGCACTGAATAAATCCAAATAAATTCACTGATAAATGTAGATTATTATACTTAATTATATATCACTGATATGTAAAATTTCAATACATTTTTATTTGCACTATTTAAAAAAAATCTGTTCTTCACAACAACTCAATATTTCTGCTTACATATTAATTGATTCCTTTTTGTTTTTGTATTTGAATCTACTATGAAAGGGTTACTACAAAAGTTCTCATTTAATTTATATTATCAACACCAAACATAGTTCTATTTAATTAATAATATTGCTTGTAATCTGTTGCTGAGTAGATATGATATTACAGTCCATTGCCTCTTATTTACATTATTTTGTCTGGTTTTGTATTCTAGAAAAACTTCTGGCGCAGCATGTCAGACGAATTTCTTTCAGTATGCACCGAAACAAGGCCTGATAATGCAGATCAAGAACAAAGAAAAGTAAAGTTGTGTCTCTTTCTTTTGTCGTTTGTTGTGAGTTGTGATAAATTAAAATTAGTGTGTATCCATGGTTGCAAGTTATGTTACAGGAAAGTGTAAACTGTGCAGTACACCACAGCACTATAAACTGCAGTGATGCTGTAGTAGTGCTTCAGGTCATGGTGATGGGGCTCTTTAATGTCAATCCACTGAGTTCTGTTACTGTAAGACATCATGTTCTTGTTCCAGCAGAGGGCCTCAGTGATAAGGAGACAAACTGCTCCTCATAAGTCACATGCTATCATTTGATTCAGTACCACCCAGTGCCCAGAGCTTCTCCATAACCCAGTCTGACACACTTATAACGATGAACACCTGCAAGCAGAGGGCAAGACACACGCTATTAACATATGACCTGCAGGTTATTCCATAGAGAGACATGACACCGTTTGATTCCTCTTGGAAATAGTCGGGTTTCTGCACTAAAACTCCACTGAACTCCAATGGCGCACTTGCTCAGGGAAACAGTATGATGATTTTATATAACAGAATCTGTATATAGATGGATATAAATTGGGACAGGAGCAGCGGCTTCCTCCCTGATTTCAGCACCATGGAGAGCAAACTCGCTCTTGACACTGAGAAGAAGTCAACAGACTGCGTTCGGCTTCATGCACATCACTGTACACACAACCCATAAATATATAAATATGATAAATAATTTAAACGGATTTTGGCGATGAGCACATTTATATTACATTATAAATAATATTATATTTCAATATCAATATTTATCCTACATGTAGACATGTCAGTCCATATAACCTACATATTATACCAGCCTGCCTGCAGCCTATGGCTCTATATGTTGAAGGGGGTTAAGTAACGCCTCACGCATTATGTAACACACTTGGGGATGGGAGTAATATTGTGCGTGCGCTGTCAGTGGTCTCGCTTCTTGTCCAATCATGTGTGTCCTCAGTCTGCACACAGCTCTCCTCCACCCGACGTCCTCAGCATCAGCAGAGCGGAGGCTGGCACCAGCGGAGCACCAGCAGCAGCGGAACGACCCTTTGTGCTTCACCGACCGACGCGCATCCTTCTGAGAGGAAACAACCATCGGACATCCAGGCAAGCCTTTCATTTGTTTCCCCTTTCGTAAAAATACCTTTCAAGAGAATCTGTTATGACCAATTAAGCCAAAACCCGGAGTGTAACTATATTGACAGGGTGGGAGCAGGTGGTGCTGAGGAAGAGGAGGTGTTTACAAGTTCAGGAATTTGTCAAATCATCCAAATGTCGCTGCGAAATCTTGGAATGTTTTGGGTGGTGCTGTGTGAAATGTGGACACAGGAGGTCTGAAGTTGAAGGGGTTTTTACATCACCATTGGTTGCATCCTTATGTCGTACTTAGTGTGTCTTTATTCTAGAGGCTGAGAAAAACACCCCCAGCAGCTGTGGGGGCGCCACATGGAACAAAACAAAGCCCCCAAAACATAATCAAATATGTAACAAGCGATTTGAAGACAGTGTGGGAGAAGATGCTGTCATTTTCAGGGCACACAAACATAAGTCATAAGTCTTTAGAAACAATAAAAATGGCTCAAAAGTGAGATGTGGAAAACAAAGGGAGGCGTGAAAACATGTAAACACATGGGATGGCTTTCCAGTGTTCCCTGGTTAGAGCAGTGGTTTTATTTAAAGGCGGATATTCTTAAAAATGGTGACACTGAGTTTATTATAAGAGTGTATTTTTAAAGGGTTTTAGCACTGTAAAGATCCAATACAGAGAATGGTTCTGTTAGAGCTTATCATAGATGTTATAGTCATAGTGAAGTCAAGTGTTTTCCTCTTTGGTACCAGCTACTAATAAACAACTTCTGTGCAATCAGACAAACATTTTTTGAATGTTGGTATTGGTTTCAGTTTTTGCTTTATGCTTCCTGGAAGCAGGATTACTGAAAGTAAAAGTGATTACTTAGTAATGACATCATGCAGGGATGATGCAGTGTGTTTAAGGGTCGATGAGCTTAGAACAAGTGTGAATGACGTGCTACTCACAAGAGAACTATTTTCAGAGTACAAATATTTCATATTATGGATTTATATAAATAGTTATATAGTATAAATATTTCCTTCTTGGCATAATGTTTAAAAATGTATAAGGCATCTGGACATAAATGCTCAATTAAGCTCACATCTTCAAAGCTGTACAACAGTCTGTCAGTGTGCATCAAATGTCGTCATCACTGAAATAACATCTCATTAACAATCACAGCAACAGAACAAATGGACTGAGTGCATCACATGGTTCATCATATCAAATTGGAATAGCTTCACATTAGTCCATGTGCACAATCAACATTAGAGAGCACGTCGAACGGGATGGATTAAGGGAATTTATTATTGACGCCCACTCCATGCTGTTTTAGACCATCTGGATAAGGGAAATAGCTTCAGGGGAGGCTTAAAGACTTGTTTACCAGTCATGTTCACATTATCTCATCATCCCACTGACAGCTTTCACCCAAGCCCAACCTTTCCCTAGGACATCCACTTCGTAAACTATATTTGAAGTTTTCGGAGTGAATTGCTGCATTTACACAGCTAGGTTGTCTGTTGGTTATGCTTAGGGGGCTGATCCTGTGTTTGCAACTTAGATAATGCTCAGCCTGCTCAGTGGGTAGCCAATC